CTTTCCAGTCTCGATTTTCCCCCGTTTGGACCTTCCCCTAACCCCCCAAAACTTTCACAATCGTTGGGCAATGCACCTTCCATCCGCCCATAGCATGAGATTTGAACCTCCAACCTACCACCCTCTGTATACGTGTGACTATTTTCCGAAAGGAGATTATCACCACATACAGGCGGACCCTCTATCCCCCCACCACCTTACGTGCCAACGACATTTCGGAACAGACTGAAGCCACCCAGGAGAATCAAAAACACATACACTCGGCACCAGTACTGTGGAAATATCGAATCAAACCCGAACCTGTTACCCCATTCTCGTGTCTCCAAACCTCGCATGCGTACCTCTTTCAACTAACTCTCTCAATATCCATCATGTAGATCTACACGTCTCTGAAACAGCTGATAACAACTGTAAATATTCAGCAAAAGCATTTTTCAAAGAGCTGACAAAATACAGGGAAACGATATTTCCGAAACTCCTGATAACAATTTGGAGGATATATCCAGCAAAGACGTGTATCTAAAACAGCTGTTAACCTAACCAGCAAAGATGCCTCATAAATAGCTTTTACAGAGCTCAGATACACAGTTGTTAAAGTCTGAATATTTAGCTTCTATACATTTTTGATTGTTATAGCTGCCCTGGTTTTCGTTTCTTCTTTCGCAGCAGCAATTATATTGTCTTCCCTATCCCGTATTCCCTTTCCTTTCCGTTACTAAATACAACGAGCAAAGTATTTTGGTGATGCGAATGATTCTATCCCAAACCTCTTAGTTGTTCTTCTCTCTGTTATTATTACCCATGTGTGTTTGTATGTTCTGGATCTGAATGCGCTGTTTTGTCGAGCTGTAAGTGATGAGATCGCGAACCAAAAGTGAGAGTCATCATAATACTTGCTATATCGCTGAAAAGCCAGCACAACTTCGCGCTGAACAGCTTATTATTTAGCACACTCACCCCTCAGTACATCGAAAGTTGAGGAACGATGGGTGCTCAGGCTACCAGTGACGTCAGTCAGATTCGACGTTCAACCCTTGATCCCGTCTTATGTGTGACCTTCACCCCTTTTCATCACCTTTATATCCTCCACCCTCACCTTCCTTCTCACCCTGCACCACCCCTCTCTCAACCTCACCCACATCCTCGCCGTGACCTCTCAACCCAGTGACCCCTTGACCCCGTGACCTCGATTACCCTCTCAGCCCTTGTATTGCCTCCTGCATGAACACAACAATAATCCCCACCCACCTTACAAAACCCTCTCTCTCCCATATATATATACACTTAACAACAATAGTATTATCCTCACGAATATTGTGTGAACTTTCAACCTGGCTACAATACAGTACTATACCTTTTTACTCTAATGGCCAGCTTTACCCAAATTCATCCATTAGAATTCGGGCTCTCTATCAAAGTCAAACCCTGTGTTTATAATGGTAGCACCGTAGAAATGTGATTTATTTTTCCGATATAAATTGTATATTTTCTCTGTGATCGTTCTCTCAGTCAGTCTTGTGTACGCCAAGCCTACTAAGGAATAAATGATTTATTATACTACACATTACGGTAGATGGTGTTTGTGTGTTTGTTTCTTAACTAATTTCCACAGTTGTTTCCGAGGTGATGGACTGAAGCCGGTTAGAAAAATGTCATCACCACTACCGCCACTACCACCACCTACAACAACTTTATAAACAAAAACAACAGCAACAAAATCATCATCCACAACATAAATAACAACAGTAAAAACAGCAACAGCAGCAGCAGCAGTAACAACAACAACAACAACAACAACAACAACAACAACAACAATACAAACAGAAAGATCAACAGCAAACAACAACAACACCATTATCAAATATAACATCATTATCAACAACAACAGTAAAGGCAACAGCTTGAGCAACAACAACAGCAACAACACATAACAATAGCAGCATCAGCACCCCCGCCCCCCCTTCCCCCTCCAAACATACACACATGTACACTAAAGCATGGATACCCGTCAATAGCAAAAATAACACATACACACATAAATCAGAAACAAAAATCAAGCTGTTCTAGTGCAATGGAACTACTTCTACAATATATTTTGTTAATTCAAAATAGCACTAGCCAGTATCCAATTTGTAATTAAGTGAAAAGATCAAACAATTTCTACAGTATCGAAAATATATATATATATATATGTAATTATACGTTTGTACATTATATTATGACACCAAATATTCCTTTTTTTTTTAACCGAAACATTGCAATGGCTAAAGATCTAAATAAAATTAGCCCAGTACTGAAAAACTCTTCCTCAGTGACTACGGTACCAATGACTACCAAGACTAAAATTTTGAAAGACTATCATCATGTGTGACCAACCATTCCAAACGGCTGTGATAGCTGGAAAATCACTGAATACAGTAAAAATAAAATAGAGGCAATAGAAATGTGGTTTCTTAGAAGATTAGTGAAAATATCTTGGACGGAAAGAAATCAAATGAGTATGCTGAAGTAGTCCTTGAAGAAACTCACATGAACCGGAAAAGACAAAGTTTCTGTGGCACTTGGATTTGGATAGACATTAAGGTCTTGAACATAATATCTAGCTTTCATAGAGAGGTCAAACTTAAGGCAATCAAAGCAGGCGGTGATCTGAGAGCCTAATCAGATGTGTGGCGAGGAAAGATTATGATAATGTAGCATTTTAGTTTTAGAGAACATCCGAGCAACGGAATGAATGAAGTACCATGATCGATGATGTCTGTCGCAGATCTGGCACGACTTGATAATGATAATATGTCTCACAGCACTTGACAACAGAATGACATCTAGATCTATACATATATTTGTGAAAGTTCTTCACTTTGGCCGCCTAAAACTTCAGAACCACTTAACTTTCGAATTTGACAAAATCAATGGTGGTTCAGAATCATTTACAGGGTGCATAGTTCTATTGAGGAGGCTGAAGTCACTGTAGTTTAATTTTCAGTTTTTCATTATTAGTTTCGTTTAGATCTAATCTTGGGAAAGTCCGTCTTCTAAGACGCCTTTGAAAACAAGTGAAGTTTCCGTTCAATTGCCGTGCGCACTGTTTCCACACCTTTCAAATTCTGAAGTGTACAGCCACGAAGGCGGAATAGAAAATCTATCTATACATCGCTATCTAAGCCTTTCACTTTTTTGCATCTCTCAGGATTTATTGCTCCATTCCAGTTGAGTGCAAATATAGTAGACCAATGACTTTCAGTTGATGTTAATGTACCGATCATTCCTTTCAACGAAACGGGGCCCAGCTAGTGCATAATAAAATAGAAAATGTATTTAATTAAGACAAAGCTCTATCAGGGATATGGATTTTTATTGTAACCACTCTGCGCCCCCATCGACTCAATTTATATTATACTCGAGACTTTTTTATGGATTCTATCCTGTCAACCAGGGAGTGTAGCTTTAGACATGTGTATGTATTTCAACTCAGTAGAAAGAATGGGAACTCGATAAAATAATACTATGTTTTCATTTTTGTGTACAGAAAAACACCCTCTAATAATTACATCAAAGACGCTAGTAAGCTGGGCTTTAGATTCCTGAATACACCCCCCCCCCTTTTATTTCACCCTAAAATACA